TGGTGAACGGCACTCTCACTGGCTCCAGATACAAATCTGGGGAACATCTTAGGTCCTTTCTTTTCCTTATACCCTACATCCAAGCCTCCTCCCTTAGGGCACCAAGTCAGTGATTAGGACCAGAAATACCTTTCTGATATTTTCAATGATGCTAAGGCCATCGATTAACACAGCTCCAGAGGTTGCGACCTCCTCTCCAGTCAACATTTTGATTGTAGTGGTCTTCCCGGCTCCATTTAATCCAAGTAATCCAAAGCACTCAGACTTTTTGACTACAAGCGAGATATTTCTTACAGCTTTTATAACTGGACACTTATAATAAATCTGAAAAAAAAATTAAAAAATCACAAGGTACCAAAGCAATGATGATGGGTTGACCACAACCATAATCTCAGACCCCTGTGGACAGTCCCACAAACACACTTTCCTTCTCGGCCTTCTATTTTTACCAGAAAGTACACAGATCCCAGACAAGTCCCACGGTTAGCAACGCTACCAGTACATTCTCGGCAGGGATACAGCTCAAGGCAATGGTGGTCACTGCGTGACTTTACCTTTGTAAGATCTTTGAGAACCAGTGGGCTATTCTTCAGTTTAGGAAGCTGTGCCTGGACTTTCTTCCTTTCATTTTCTACATTTTCTTCCTTATATTCCTTGTTCATATGGGTGGACACTGTACCCTGTATTTTCAAGACAAGGATCACAGATGTGAACGCACTTTAGATACCTGGTTTAAACTGAGTGGTATTTTGAAAGCTGACTTGAGGGAGTAATTTCAAAGATGTCAGGAAGTGTTTGACTTATTTCCAAGAGCCCTCCTACCAAGTTTCTGAACTCACGTTCAAATTTATTCTCGACTTGCTTAGTTTTGGAAACTACAGACATGAACAAGTTTTTCTACAGCTATGAGTAAGCAGTATGTTCTTGTCAGAAACACAGACACTTCATGGAAAGCAAAAGCCACACCGATACCACTGATTATTCTCTAGTGTGACTTGTTACAATTAAAATATGTTCAAAAGACCGTGGGGTCCAAGAGAGGTCCCTTCTTTTTGAGGGAAGGCCTCTCCTAGGTGAAGTCTGAGCTGAGTATGAAGAATAAATGAGGATTTATTGAGAGAATGAGGTAGAATGGGGAAGGAAGAAAGGCCGCCATCAGCAGTGGGAACTTAGGTGAAAGGGACGTTGGAATGAAACGCGACATGTTTGGTGAAGAGTAATTTGTACTGTTTGAGCAAAAGTTCATTGATTTGAATTGCTTGTTTTCCCCTCGAGTTCTCATTTAATGGTACCGGTTAAGGAGGGATGGAGGGTGGAACATGTTCAACTCAGCAGACGTTCTAATCAAAAGAGAAGAGAGCTGCATTACATGTTTTGTTTTGTTTTTTTCTTTTCCAATCTCAAAATTGGTTGCATAGGAGGGTAAGGCTGAACGTCCGTGCCTTGTTTTCAATCTTAGGGGAGGAACGTTTCACCATTATATTTGCTCAAGGATTTCTAGACATAAGTAGATGCCACTAATAGGGCTGACAGAGTTCTTTTCTTTCCTTAGTTTGCAGACAATTTATTA